TAAATAAATTGAAAGAAAAAATCATTGCACACCGGTTGTCTCAGTAGTCACAATATTTGCATAGGCATAATAATGTACACACTGAATATGACTTAGCCAAAAATTATGAGAAGCTGTAACAGAAGAATGCGGCTAGTGGAGGAAAGATTACATTCCTTTCCTTTCATTCTGAGGGATCAACAAATCATACTTCAAAAGAACACATGGGGCCCAGGGAGATGGCTCAGTAGAATAAGTGCTTGCCTGGCAACACAAGGGCCTGAGTTCAATCCCTGGTTCCAAGGGTAAAAAAAATAAAGAAGAAGAAAACATGAAGAAAGAATGGCAGGGGGACCTGCTGGTTAGCTCAGTTGTTTGAACGCCTGCTTATTCAAACGCAGTCAGGTGCAGGATACCAGGATTCAATCCCCAGTTCCACATGCCTTACCAGACCTGCCCTTAAGGCAGCCTGAGCCAGCCAAAAACCAAACTCCTTCTCAATTATTTTCTTTTCTTTTTTTAATCTTTTATTTTTTCCATAATTTTATTGAGAAATAAATAACAATGAGACAGTTTCAAATCAAATTGGTAGGACAGTTCTAATAATTAACACATTGCATACTGCCTTCCTAGTGGTTATTTGTTGTACAAGATGCAGACATGATATCCTATTTACAAACATCATTAGAACAAATCTCTCTATTCCTTGAATTAAGAAAATGTAGCTAAATATCTATCTGAACCATTTTGAATGCACAGATACAAAATGGTCATTCATCTATATCCCCTTTTCTTATTTAGTTCCATCATTTAAATATTATAGGTGTGTGAACTCAGCAAAATACTCCGAAAGAGTCCAGTAGTTCATAATAGTATTGGGTCTTCCACTTGACTGGCAATGTCAGAAGTTGTTGACCTGAGTCCCCTACAGCTCAACATCACACCATGGCTTTATTTCTTGTACTTCGTTTTTATACTTTTCTGCTGGATGATTAAGACCAAAATAAAGCAAAACCTATGTAACAAGAACTGTAGCTTTTGGATCTGATAAAATCAGTCAAATGCCCTCAGGATTTATCCTGAGACCCTTTACCTCAGATTGTAGATCCTTTGTTAGTGTCAGCAATGTGGATGAGTCATGGCCATTGCTTGGCCAGTTTGCTGTTTGTGAAAGCCTGAGAGAATATTTCCTCTCCATGTGACTCTCACACTCTACATCATCGATTACTTTCCTCTTTGGTCCCATAATCTCCTTGGTCAGAAAATTTGGGACACAACTGAGTTATGCACCTGTCAAATAGCTCAGGGGATTAAAGCACCTGCAAACAGGCACAGGGGCCAAAGGTTTGATCCTGGGCCTGCTGTGCAGGCTTCTCCCCCAGGGCACTCTGAGGCAGCAACTGAGACTGGGCTTGGTGGTGGGGGCCTGTAACCCCAGCAGATAGAAGGCTGTAAACAGGTGGAGGCAGATCACTATGACTCTGATTTAGTAGTGAGACCCTGAACACCCTGTAGACCCTTCCCTAAAATACAAAAAAGAAAGAAAGAAAGAAAGAAAGAAAGAAAGAAAGAAAGAAAGAAAGAAAGAAAGAGTAGCATGTTGTTTGGAAAGACAAGAGCAAATATTAGGAAGAGCATCTAAAAGAGTCGAAGGGTAGGCTGGGGGTGTAGCTCAGTGGTATAGCACCTGCCTAGCATGGGCAAGGCCCAGGACCACTAAGACAGAACAGGGATTGAGGAACACCCCACGGGACCAGGAAGTGGGAGCAGGAGGCTGCTTTTGTTCATTATGAATCTTGTAACCCAAGTACAGCTTTGGTAAATAAATAAATGAATCAAATTAAAAATTAAAAGAAGAAAAACAAAAAAATTAAAAAGAGCCCCTGCCTCAATTTCAGGTGCTTGCAAGGGGTGTCTGTGAACTATCTCCCATTCTCAGCATTGGCTGATGGGTTTAAAGGTTGCTAGTTGTTTGACTCACTGGTCCCCAGATGTTTCCTGGACCAACAGAGTCAGCACTGCTGGGAAACTCGAGAGACGTGTGGTCCTGGGTCCTGCCCTAGGTGCACGGGCTCAGATACTCTGGGCAGGGCCTCCTGCAAGCTGGCCTGGACCAGAGCTCAATGATGCTGAATCAACAGAGCACATGTGCAAGTTCAGCTGCCGACGGGGAGCACGGCTCATCCCCAAGGAGGCATCGCTCTTGCCTGGGCACAGAATGACATCTCAGTCATTGTTAAAAAAAAAAAAAAAAAAAAAAAAAAGCAAGAAGAATCACATAGTCTGCATCAATTAAATAGGGAATAACAGATTTGTTTTTTGGTTTTTTTTGTTTGTTTGTTTGTTTTTTGTTTGGCAGAACCAGGGATTGAACTCAGGCCCTTGTGCTTGCTAGGCAAGCACTTATTCTACTAAACCATCTCTCCAGCCCCTTAAAAGCAAGAGATTTGAATAGGCATTTAAAACCTGAAGTGGAGCCAGCCTGGGCAACTTAGCAACTTTATGTGACTCTCTCTCAAAATAAATATAAACCAGTCTGGAGACCTAGCTCAGTACAGACCAAGGGTTCAATCTCCAGTTTCACATAAAAGAGAGGGTGGAGGAGGGGAGGAGAAAGAAGAGAGCAGAAACAAAAAAGAGAATGATCGCTTTCCTTGCAAAATTTTATATGGGGAATTTACTCATTTAAGCAAGTCTAAGGAAAACTGCCATTGTTTCTGCATAAAAAAAAAGATTCTCACAGGTACAGGGGCTTTAGGCCTTCCAGAACACCTTCATAAAGGTCTCTTTGGGGTTTCACAGGCACATGGCCCTAAGGAAGAAATCCCTGGTGTTGTGTAATCCCCAGAGCCCAGTATGGGGTTTGGCACATAGTAGACACTCTTATGGATGGTCAAAGAAGAAAAGAATGTTTTCTAAATCTCATGTAAAAAACTCAAAGAAGCTGAGTGTGGTGGTGCACACCTGTAATCCCAGCCCTCAAGAGGCTGAGGCAGGAGGATCATTGCGAGTTTGAGTCCAGCCTGGACTACAAAGTGAGCTCAAGCCCAGCTTGAACTGCATAGTGAGACCTTGTCTCAAAAGGCGAGAAATGAAAATAAATAAATAAATAAAATTTAAAAATTCACATAAAGACACCTTATCACAATGTCATTTTGTCTCCTATTGAATTACAAATCCTTTGTATGATAGACTTACTGCTTTTCTTTGTAATCTCTAGATTTTTTTTGGAATCTCTGAACACAAACAAGTGCTCAAAGAGTGCTGAGGAAACCATGATCCTGCGAGAGACCAGGAAACTATCCACGTTGCGGTTTGTGCCTCGATGTTCCCCAAAGCCTCACGCGGTCACGCAGCCATGGGGGAGCAAGCTCTGCAGAAGCGGCTGGATCTAGAGTTTGTGGCTGATTCACGGTGTGGTGCTGGGATTCAGGAAGTGAGAACTTCCACGGGTGCGCCTCACCCCGAGGCAGTAGCCTGCATTCAACACCAGGGACAAAAGAGCCTTGCTCTCCCTCTTCTCTTTGCTTTCTGGGCCTTCTGCGCCTGGATCTGTTGCCCCTACCCATGCGCCACCCCACCTTGCAGCCAGCCAGTTATGAACTGCAGTCTCCACAAGCTGTGAGGTAAATAAAGCTTGCCCCTTGTAAATGTGGGTGTTGAGTATTTTGTCTCAACAGCAAGAGAAAAATAACTAAGGTACATGTTAATACAGCTAAATCCTGGCAGATCTGACCTTCAAAGCTCAATGAATCAAGCTCCAAATAGAGTGCTTTTTGGCAGTCAGCAGCATAAGGCAAGGCCCTGGAACCCAGGCCTCTAGGACTACTGGCTCTGAGGACAGCTGCCTGCCCTAGTTCAGGCCAGCTGAGTGTCATGTGCTAACCATGCTGCTGAAGTTCAGAAGCAGGAGGGCTCAGTGTGCTCTTCTAGTTCAGGTGGCTTCCCCGCTGGTGTAACCAGGAGGAAGGGCCAGGCCCTTGAATGTAAGTACTTAGACAAGCACAAAAGGCACGAGAGGGCATTCCTGGCAGGGGTGCATCTTAATTAAAAGCACCAGGAGAAAACCAAATGAAGCTAATGGCTAGGATACATAATTATCTCTACAAGCCAGTGGCTCCCTCACAGGAACATGGCTCTTTGCCTAGAATTGAGTGGATAACTTATATGTATATTTATCAAGTGAACTGTGGGTGGATGAATGGATGGATGGATGGATGGATGGATGGATGGATGGATGAATGGATGAATAAATGGGTAGGTGGGTGAGCTGGTGGGTGGATGGGTAGACAGTAGATGGATTCATGGGAAGATGGATGGATTCACGGGTGTGTGGGTGGGTCAGTGGATAGATGAATGAGTAGACAGATAAGTGGATGGTTGGGTAGGGATGGACAAACGGATGGATATTTGCTAATGGTAAGATAAGACTTTAAAAGGCTTTGGATATTGAAAGGTTTTGTTTTGAATACTGAGTCGGACCTTTACAGTGTGATTTGAACATATTATGTTCCATCTCTCTGAGTTGAAGTCTCTAAGAGGACCTTGGAGATTGCTGTGATAATTAAATAATTCATGTAAAGTACTGAGCTCAGAGACTGACATACAGTATTTGCTAAAGAAATGGCAGTTTTTACCATATTCCTTCACAAGGAAAAATAGAACAAGCAAGGGATGTCACCAGGGGCCACATGTGGCTTCCTTGCTGTCATCTTCCCTTTTTCCTAAAAACTGAGTCTGGAATTTCCTTTGGAATGCCTTGGGGTTTGAGTAGCTCATACCAATCAGGACATTCCATCCTCTGGAGGATGTACAAGAGATCTCAATGGTCCAAGCAGAGAGAAACTCAGAACAGAAACTGGGACTAAATTTTAGCTATATTCCCATTTTACAGACAAGTTAGAGAGTTAAACATCAAGCAACTTGATGAAAATTAGACAAGTTAGTGGAGCGAAATCCACCTTCCAGCTCAGGGCCCTGCCCTGCTTACCACACAACTCTGATGCAGTGGTGAAACATACCCCATCCGAGGGCCACGAATCCCTGAAGGCACTTCCTTTCTGAGAAGAAGGAGATGACGAGGAGCGTGTGAAGGTAGAGGCCTTCCACCAGCAGCCAGGCGTAATTTGCCATGATGCAGTACTGGAAGAAGATCATGACCAGCTTACAGCCCACCTGGACAGAGAGAGGCGGGTGAGGCCGGGCCAGAAGGCAGTGGGCTCTCCACTGGTGACCAGCCCCAAAGGAAGCAGCACCATGCTACAGAAGGCAGAGGCCAGGCCACGGGGAGAGCCTCAGGGTCCAAAACTATCTTTGTGGCCTTCCTCCATCAGGAGGCCAGGCCCACAGAATTCCTCGGAGGAGTCCACAGGCCCATGGGTTCCGTCAAAATGGCCAGTGAGCACCACAAGAGAGGAAGTGGCTTCAAATTCTGGAAGCACCTGCCAGGCATGGTGAGGAAGACGTTCTTTCACTTGAAAAGCTGTATCTGATGTTGCCCGACTCCCTCATTAGTCGGATAAGAAATGTGAAGCTCAGAGAGGAAAGGGATTTCTGAGCCAAGGTGACAATTCACTGTCTAAGTCCCTAAAAACATGGGGAGGGGTCATGCCAGCTCTGCTAGAAGGCAACAGTGACTGTGGTGAAAGGACCCGAGAGACACCTGACACTCAAGCTGGAGACCTCCAAATACCCAAGAGAAAAGCCACACTGATGACTCTCACTGGGCATGTCCCCCACAGGGTGGCCTGGGCAGAGCCAGAATACTACGGGGCAGAGTCTCCTACCCAAGTGTGGCTCCAGCTCCTGTTCTACTTTAGTCTCCCTTCCTTGTGCTGAGCTGTCCCCTGGGGTGAGGACAGCTGTGGGGATGGCCTAGAGCTGTGCATGGACTGCTGTGAGACCAAAACCCAAGCAAGAAGAGGGTCCAGGGGCACATTGCTGGCCAGCTGTGGTCCCTCCTTGTGGCCTCCCCAGAGCCTCTACAGCAGAACAGCCATCCTTGGCTGTGAGTCTGATGGGGAGTAAAACCCAAGAAGTTTCCCTGCTCGGCTTTGCTGCACTTTCCCAATGTTGCTCAGTAATGGGAGGGGGCGGAACTGGAGCCTCCTGACTCCCAGCCCCTTGATCCTGGGGAGACATGAACATGACACAACAGACTACTCAGTCTAAGTCAGCAAATGTGTTCTCTCTCTCCTTCCGCACCCCCCTCTCCAATACAAACAGATGGAGCTGGTGGGAAGTGGCAGGTAGAATCATTCTCAATTCTCAGATTCTCTCCCTGCTTGCCTCTGCAATGCAGACTGTGACAGTAAAAGAATCCCCCACTTTTCAAAGTTCTAGCCAATAAAGTATAGGTAATGGGGCCAGGGAGATGGCTCAGTAGAATAAGCGCTTGCCTGGCAAGCGCAAGGGCCTGAGTTCAATCCCCGGTTCTGAAAAAAAAAAAAAAAAAGGAGGAATCCCTGGGGAGAGAAAAAGAAAAGCCTCCTAAAAACAAAAACACTTGACCTTTGGCCTTCCTCCTTCCTAGAGTGTGCCTACCAGCCAGAGGTTGCAGATGCTCAACTGCAACTACATGGTATAAAGCCTGAGATCAAGGCCTCCCCTGGGGGTGGTAGAGCAGAAATAGAGGAAGACACTCCTTCCTTCATAACATCACAGAGTCGCCTCATACTTCTGGATTACCCACCGTGGGCTCCTTAGGTGGGAAAAATCCACCATTTGTTTAACTCACTGATCGGCAATTTTTTGTTATTACAAGGATAGTGACACAGAGTGGTTGCAACCAATCATGAGTGATCTGGGCATCTGGAAGGAGAAAGCCTCAGCACAACTGGGCTCTGACCCTCTCCTCCTTAAAGTTAGGCTGGGGAGACAGGCATGTTACCGTGTGGGCATCACAGTAGGTGACATCGTCCGAGGAGAAGAGCACAGCGTCTTTGATGAAGTTGGACAGAGCACGCAGGATGAAGGACACGAACAGGTGCATGTGGATGTAGTTGCGGGTGCAGTGCAGCCTCCTGAAAAGAGAGCAAGCACAGTCATGGGGACTCAGCCAGGCCCGCCCTACCATGTGCGGGGGGGTGGGGGGAGCAAGGCCCTGGACATGAGCCCTCTGTGGGTCATACCTCTGTTAGCAGAACTTGAAAGAAGAGCCCTGCCCCTGATGCCCAATGGATTTGTCCCAATACTGCTGTGTTTTAAAAAAAAGTTAGGTGTGTAGAGGCAATATATTCTACCCTGCCATCATTTCCAGCCCCCAATGTTGTTTCCTCTGTGTTCCCCTTATTCTGGCATCAGACACCAGATTTCTTATAGAGAACCCATTCCACTCTGAGTGGGGCTGATTGGACGCACTTACTTCACCTTTATGATGGCCCTGACCAATCAAAAATCTTTCTCTGTCCCTGGCCACAATGACTGGCTCAGAGTAGGGCATGTGACCTAAGCTGAGCCTGTGAGAAATTCCCTGGGACTTTTACTAGAACCAAAGGGGAAGAGGCTGTCTGTCCCTGGTTTGGCTGAGCTGGTAGAATTTGTCCTGTGGCTGCTGCTGATTGTCTCGTCCACCTCTGCAGAGAGCCTGCCCAGGATGAGACCAACACAGAGCCCAGAAAGGCAGAGAGACAGACCCAGCTCTGCTGCAACCTGAGCACCTGTGCCCAGCCATGACCAAAGCAGAGGCCCTTGAACCCATCAATGCTGTTTTTCCTAAGCTGTTTGGAGCTGGATTTCTGTCTGTGGCAACTGAGAGTCCAACTAGACACCTGCAAAGCAGACGTAATGGCAGCTGTCTTGTTGCATGCTGAGAAAATTAGAAATAAACGATGTGAAGAAGCTGGCCTCATTAAAGTCTCAGTAATGCTTACTGAACATTGAATGAGTAGATTTAAAGTGGCCTCCAGAAACGGCATTTTTCCTGGGAAAGCTTCGATGGAGAGATGACAAGGCAGCACACCCAGCCCTGCCTCTTTCTGTCCTGAGCCACTAAGCAAAGACAAAAAGTCTCCCTAGGGAGGGGACAGAGATAAGAAACAGCAGCCTGTTCTCACCGGAAAGCACACAGGATACTGAAGGCCACCAGGAGCATGACGAGGGAGGAGCTGTAGCCCACGGTGTACATGACTTTCAGCTTCAGCAGGAATGCGTGCTGCAGAGAGACACACATCAGCCCTGCCGCCCGCCGCCCGCCACCCGCCCACCCGCTGGCCTCCGTGCCAGTGTAAGCCCCAGCCCTGCCTGCTACGCGGCTCACACCCAAGGATGCCAGGCACAAGCGTGGAGCCACCAAGCCCTTCATTTTGGATCCGATCCTGGGCTTGTCTGAGGCCTACTCCAACTTCCCTACTGTGCGGGCCCTCTTACCAGCAGGCTGCGTCCAAGTCTTCGCTTGAATACCTCTTGGGATAAGGAGCTCACTGTCTCTTAAGAAAGTCACTTAGGTGCAAAATATCAGTAATTTTAATATGATGCTAAAATCAGCTACCTTTCACCCAAGGACACAGCTGAGGAGTGTCCTGGGCCGGGAGGCTCGTCTCGTGGCCCCAGAGCCTGTGTTCACCTCTCTCCTCTGGGCCTCAGCTGCCTCTCTGCAGAGTAGGGATAATAATTACTGCCTTGCAGCTTGCTGGAAGAACTAGTAAGACAGCAGGTAGTGGCACATCTGTGCTGCCCTGCTCCAGCCCCCGTACCGCCTGCTTGGTGGCTCGTCTCTACCCCATTGCCCAGCCCTTGTGGATCACTGAGGACACGATGCCTGTAGGTCCCTCTTCATCAGGCTAAGCAAACTGGCTGGTCTAAGGCAGCCACCAGGGTGACTGGCCTCAACCTCTAAGCTCAGTACAGTGCCATCTGCCTGCTGAAGGACAAGCCCCCCAACCCACAACAGTGGACGGTTTCCCAGATGACCATCAGACAGAGCCATAAAAGGAGAAAATAGCTCAAAAATTCCCAGAAAACCTCTACCTATCTCGAGAAAACATATGCCTGTTCTTCTCTTTATTATCCTGCTCTTCCCGCTCATCTTTCTCACTCTCTATCTATAACGTCTCAACTTCAGCCGGTTGAAGGGTGACTTTCGAGTTTGTCTCTCGGTTCTCCTATTCTTAGCCAAGGACAAAAGTTCCCTTCACTTCTCGGGTGGTGCTCAGTCTTGTATTGGCTCCACAATTCTGAGGGGCCAGAGCCAAGAGTTCTGAGAGAGAGGAAAAAAAGACTCGCAATTGTGCACAACGCCTGGCATCTAAAAGACTCTGCGTGTGTTACCTTTCTCTACACCAACAGCCCCCACCTACCCTTCAAAATGAGTCAGTGGAATGAGATGGTATGAGGGCTGAGGTACAAGGTAGCTGCTAAAAACTACAGGCCTAAGGGCCGGTGAGATAGCTCAGTGGACTAAGTGCCTGCTTAGGCAAGCGCAGGGACTGGGATTCGATCCCCCACACCACATGTGGCACTGGCCCTGTCCCCAGGTGCAGAGCCAGCCACTGAGTCTAGGCGTGGTGGCACAGGCTTGTAATCTCTGTGCTGGGAGGCTGAAAACAAGAGGATCACTCTGAGTCTGAGCTGTGTAGAAAGATCTTACACCAAATACATTTATATAAATATCTGTTCTCAGGTTTGGGGTTTTGTTGTTGTTGTTGTTGTTTTTGCATTTTAGGGAAGGGACTACAGGGTATTCAGGGCCTCACTACTAGATTGGACTCGTAGTGATCTACCTGTTTACAGCCTCCCATGAGCTGGGGTTACAGGCGCACACCACCACGCCCAGTCTCAATTGCCAGCTCAGGGTTCCCCAGTGGCAGGGCTGGCATGGCAGGCCTAGGAATCGGACCCCTGGCTCTTGAGCCTCCTAAGCAGGTGCTTTAGCCCACTGAGCTGTTTGGTCGGGCCTGTTCTCAGTCATACTGATGGAGTGCTGTGAGCAGCTGGCCAGGACCAAAGGTTGGGAATGTGGTGCCCAGGTCTGGACACTTTACTTTAAGGGGCACATCAGTAAACTGGATCACTTCAGGAGGAAAGTCACTGTGTCATCTGAAGAGTGCAGGAGAAAATCCGGGTGGGCTACATCACAGGGGAAAACAGTTTTGGGGAGGAAAAGAGTAGAAGGGTTCATCTACAAGAGAAAGGCAAGACTTCAACTGCGAGTTCCAATGGGACAGAAGCAAGCAGTTTTTTACTTAAGAGGCACTAAAAGCTTTTCTTTTTCTTTTTTGTACACTGGAAGCTAGGGCATTACACAAGCTAGGCAAGTCCTATACCACTGAGCTCCATCCCCAGCCCATAACTAAAGGATTTTTTGAGCACAAGGGGTAATGACAGGGTGGGTGGCAGCTACTTGACACTGAGCTTCCTTCTGATGCCACCACTCTCCAAGAGGCCAGCAGTCCCCTCTAACAGATGAAGGGAATAGGCTAGAAAGGCTTTGAGTTGCTTCAGATGAATGATTTCTACTATTCAGGACATCAAAATCCTGTGAAATGTCAAAATTCTGGGGACCAACGTGTCATCCTATAATCTTGCCACATACAGGATGAACCTCATAACTGAGGGTGTCAGCTCCATCCTAGACCAATCTGTAGGAGACCGAGGCAGCAGTCCTAGCCCAGGTCCGGTGAGTGTGTGGAGAGCTTCCTGCTACCCTGCGCCGGCGGGACCAGTCCCAGCCCAGGCGCAGCGTGGGCCGGACCCTC